TATAATAGTTTGCATTTTGGTTATTTGCTGCCCTGGGTACTTTCAGGAAGAATGACTAAAATATTCAGGGTGAGTAAGTTGGGTATAAGATCTGAAGTTTTCGGCTATGAAAACAGGAAAAATCTATACCATTTTAACTTGACTGTGGAAGATGACGGTTGCACGTTTCTAATTTGTATGTGTTTCCATCTTTGTGATAAGATGCTTTAATAAATCTCTTAAATATTTACTGTTGTCATTTTTAGAAAAAAGATTTGTTACCCTGTTTTGGTAGCTAGAACCTCACATTTTCCTTTACAATAAAGTCAAGACTATTGGGATCTTTTGGTACTTTGAGAACACAATGCTAGATTTCACTTGAAAGCATTTCTTTAGTTCAGTAACACAAATATTATTTAAAGTTAATATATTACTGGACTCACTGGCCAGGAATTAATATTATGGTTTGTTAGAAAAGTTATATGATGAGGGTAGCAAGCTGTGGGGTTTTTTTTAATATTAAGAATTTTTTTCATATTTGTGTATTTTTGAGAGAAAGCGTGAGTGAGGGAAGGGCAGAGAGGGAGACACAGAATCCGAAGCAGGTTCCTGACTCTTGAGTTGTCAGCACAGAGTCGGACGCACAGGCCTTGAACCCACCAACTGCGAGATCATGACCGGAGCCAAAGTCGGACGCTTAACCGACTGAGCTACCCAGGTGCCCTGCAAACTCTGTTTTTATGTAAAGATCATTTAGTAGTTAAGTAATGAGTTCATCAAGAATAATTCAACATAGGGGAGGGGGAGAAAAAGAATAATTCAAGGTAAGACGTGTCTGTTGACCTTTGGAGGGGAACCAAAGAGAAAGCAAGCAGACTGTGGCTTATAAACCACACGACTAAAAATTTTCTCCTGAAAATACACCACTCTGCATCTTGCTGAGAATGTAGCAGTAGTGACCATGTACACATACATCATATAGACCTAACACAACCAAAAAACATACTTTACACGTTTTTTAAAGGGAGAACAATTGTTTGGCTGCAATCTCACTTATAAACACCATCACCAAAGTAAAGCGTAAACTAGGAAAGTACAGTTGTGTTTGGGGTATGCCCAGTTTGGGGTAGTAGAAGGTATTTTACTGATATCTTTATCGTTTTAGAAGATTTCCAAATCAGGGATAACTTCTCTGAGCTAGGCCTCGCTTTGTTTCTGTATAAAAACTGAAATAGAGGGCCACCTGGGTTGGCTCAGTCAGTTAAGCATCCGACTTAACTCAGGTCGTGATCTTGCGTTTGTGAGTTCTAGCCCTGCGCCAGGCTCCGTGCTGACAGCTCAGAGCTGGAGCCTACTTCAGTTTCTGCGACTCCCTCGCTCTCTGTCTCTGCCCTGCTCACACTCTGTCTCTCTGTCTCTCAAAAAATAAATGTTAAAAAATAAATAGAGGGGTGCCTGGGTGGCCCAGTTGGTTAAGCATCCAACTCCTGATTTTGGCTCAGGTCATGATCTCGTGGTTCCTGGGATCAAGCTTCGTGTCAGGCTTCTGTGACAGCATGGAGGCTGCTGGGGATTCTCTCTCTTTGCCTCTCCCCTAGCTTGTGTGTGCACTTGCCTGCTCTCTCTCTCTCTCTCTCTCTCTCTCTCTCTCTCTCTCTCTCAAACTTAAAAAGCTGAACTTTTGCAAGAGAGCCATTGTTTCCTTAGTTGGTTTAATTCTGTTCTCTGTTGAAGGTCATGCTAAGGTGTATTTAGATATTAACCAAACTTAATAGCTATTTTTCAGTAGTGAAATTACATCAAAATGTGAACACATTAGGTCCCTGACTTGGTGGGGCCCATTTTAGGGGTGGGGGTGGTGTTTGCCTGCAATCCACAGCCAAGCTTTGTGGGCCCAACTGGGCATTGTTCCTCCTGGAGTGGAAATGGGCCATCATGACCTTTAATCACGACTTCATTTGAAGCAGCTTTATCTTGTGGGAAAGGACACTGGCCTTGGAGTTTATAGAGAACAGTAACAATGTGTTAATCCCAATCATTTCCCCTAAGGAAGGGGAAAAAACTTGATTGTTAAGGGGTCATGTTTCCAGTAAAGGGAAATCTGTTGTCACAGAACAGTTAAATATCCTAGTGAATATATGCCAAAATTGTTTGCCTTAAAAGGTAATTTTTTTTTTTCTTCTGTCTGCTAGTTCTGGAGAAAAACAGTAGTAGTTTAGTATTTTTGATTCTAAAATTCAGGTAGAAAGAACATTGAAGATAAACGTTTAAACATTTGGCCTTGTTTTTTTTCTAAATAGGAAGCAACTTTGCCTTAATTAAGTAGCTCATAAATGTCAGCATTCTGACTTCTAAGTTTGGCACTCCCTCTGAAATTCCCACAAAAAAGTCTCTTGAGATCCTGATGCTGGCCTAAATCCCAAAGTCCTGTTATGCTTTTTAACTTCAGTTTTGGTTTTTATCATCCAACATTGTTGACTACCCAACCTCTTGGCTTTCACAACTTTTTGTGGGGGTTCGCCTGTCTTCATCATCTGCAATTTGCTCCTGTCGCTTTTCCACTTCCATCTGCTTCTGTCCACTCTGCTCTGGTTTTGGCCTTCTACACATTCTCAGCACTTACTGCTATGAATGTGGCTGTAGAAGCTCCATAACGTCCCAAGTGTTTCTGAGGCCTATCAAACAAAATTCGGGTCCTGTGAGGCCCTTGTTCCCAAAACCAAGCTCACTGGAACATGTGTTTTCCTGGCATCATTAGCACATTTTATGCAATGGAAAGAGCATGGTCTTAGGGATCATCTGCTGAGTTCAGTACCCAGTTCACACTCTGTGGCCTTGAGCAAATGTTTAATTCAACCGATAAATTTTGAGTGTATATTTTGTCCCAGGTACAAGAGACATAGAGATGGGCATAGTAGTAAAAATTCCCTGGTCTCCTTTGAGTGGGGAAAGGCAATTTAAAACTACATAGTAAATTAGTGATAGAACTATAGAAAAAAAGAATGGGGTGGGTACAATTTTTGTGGATGTCATGAAAGGCCACACTTAGAATAACGTGATATGTGAATGAAACCTGAAGGAGAAACAACATCTTAGAGGGACCTGGAGGAGAACCCTTGGAGTGTTCAAGGAATAGCCAGCTTGAGTGAAGAGAGTAGAAAGGGAGCAGCACGGAGAGCAGGGGGCCGTGAGCTCAGGGAGGTATTGGGTTGGCCGCTGTATGTAGTTCATCGTGAAGACTTTTAGTAGGAGGGGAGCCTACTGGAGGGTTCCGAACAGATGAGAGTCCTAAAATGACTCGTGGTATAGCTTCTCTGAATCTTCTCTAGGAAAAGTCTCTGATGGCTCAGATTTGTAAATAATAAGTGATACAATTCATGTGCAGAATCTAGAGTGCCTGGCACATAAAAAAGTCAGTAGTTCTTATAAAACAGGTTGGGTTACATACAGGAGTTGTTGAGAAATCAGATACTGGATTCAGGCAGGCTTGGTTTTCAATTTCAGTTCTGCCACTGATACACCGTGAGTCTGGCCAAGTCACTTGGCCTCTGTGAGCTTTAGTAGCAACATGACTTCATAAGAGAAGGCAGTGTGTACAGTGCTTAGCACAACAGCAGACTTACAGCAAGTCCTCAATACATCCATAGATGTTGAAAAATTTTTAAATATTAGACGGTTTTAGTAAATTAGGTAGATTTTGTAAATTGGCCATTCTCTCTTCCAATCATTTGGCAAATGGGCTACCAATGAATTAGCTTTGAAAAATGATTTGTTGCGGAGCCCCACAGTGGGAGGTTCGTTCTATCCCACAACCCTGGGATCATAACCTGAGCTGAAATGAGGAGTCAGACCCTCAACTGACTGAGCCACCCTGGAGCGCCATAAAGAAGAAGATAATTTTTAAAATTACAAGTATACCCATTCAGTTACCATTTCTGGTGCTTTTCATTCTTTTTGTAGATCTACATTTCCATCTGGTATCATTTTTTCACACTGAGTGGAGCCTGCTTAAGATTCTCTCGGGGCGCCTGGGTGGCGCAGTCGGTTAAGCGTCCGACTTCAGCCAGGTCACGATCTCGCGCTCCGTGAGTTCGAGCCCCGCATCAGGCTCTGGGCTGATGGCTCAGAGCCTGGAGCCTGTTTCCGATTCTGTGTCTCCCTCTCTCTCTGCCCCTCCCCCGTTCATGCTCTGTCTCTCTCTGTCCCAAAAATAAATAAAACGT